GGAAGTAATAAGAGATTAAATGTAGGGAGGAGGGAGAGTTGACTTGCTTATCTGGATAAAGGTTAGTTGACTGAAATAAAGCCGACTAGAAAAATAAAAAAAAATTTGGCAAGGAGTAAGTTAGTCTATAGTGGGAAAGAGAAAAAATTAAAAAGGTTAAATTTGACGTACCATTAAGAGATTCAAATGATGGAGTTATCAAATAGACAGTTAGAAATGAAATTCAAAAGAGAGGTGAGGGCTATGATGTACATTTGGGAGTGACTGACATATAAATCCTATGTAAAAACATGGGAGGGATGAGATCACATAGGGAGTGAGATAAAAAGAGAACAGGCAAGGAGTGTCTCCTGAGAAACTGAAACACATCTCTTGTCCCTTTTCCTGCTTTGGTTTTCCTATCTCTTCATATCTTCAGAATTATCATATATGAAATTATTATTATTATATGTAAAGTCACAATTAAAATCTGCCAAGTTTGACAGAAGTTCTATGTAGCAGTTTTCTCTAATATGCATTATGAAAAATAATTTTCTTTACAAATAGTGACAAAGCTCATGGCAGTTCTTTCCTCAAGGTTAGAGTTGGGGAAGATAATGAGCAACAATATACCATAGGTAGAGAACTGGCTTATTTTCCTTTCATAAATGAATCAAAACAAGAGCCTTTAGGCATTTTGCATTTTTTAAAAATATTTTCTAAAAAAAAAGTCTCTTCATTTCCTTGTTACTAGTTGCCCTCAGCCCCCTTGTATATGTCATACTTTGCCAATATATCTGATGAAGGAATATCGAGTACATCAGGTTGGGGAACAAAAACACTAGTTAACAAAAAATAGGTAAAGTAACACTGGACAAGAATTAAACAAAAATAATATGGAAGTTGAACAAACAAGAAAAAATGGGAACACAGCTTTTTTTTTTCCTTTTTTTTTGAGACGGAATCTCACTCTGTTGCCCAGCCTGGAGCACAGTAGTGAGATCTCAGCTCACTGCAACCTCCACTTCCCTGGTTTAAGCAGTTCCCTTGCCTCAGTCTCCCGAATAGCTGGGATTATAGGCACACGTCACCATGTCTGGCTAATTTTTTTGCATTTTTAGTAGAGACGGGTTTCACCATGTTGGCCAGACTGGTCTCGAACTCCTGACTTCAGGCAAGCTGCCCGCCTCAGCCTACCAAAGTGCTGGGATTACAGGTGTGATGCATCACCGGCCAGAGCTTTTTGTTTGTTTGTTTTGGTGAGGGATGGGAAGACCATGGCCCTTTTAACAGTGGTCAGAAAAGGTCACAGAATTTCTATTTCTTATCTTTGATCCAAAACATTTTTCTAATTCTTCCAAAGGAAAATACCTAGTTAGAAGCTATATTATTACCTAGTTAGAAGTTATATTATTTATCTAATCATGGTGAAGCTTTCCTCCACTTTCAAAACTTAGGAGTTACAAAGTACATTTGTCAGTGAAGGATTTTTACATGGTACCAATATTGAACACAAGAAATTCTTAAAAACAGAAAATCTCTATATAACAGCATACATTTTACTCTGAGTTTAAGAGTGAAATGTTTGGGCTGGGCGCGGTGGCTCAAGCCTGTAATCCCAGCACTTTGGGAGGCCGAGGCGGGTGGATCACGAGGTCAAGAGATCGAGACCATCCTGGTCAACATGGTGAAACCCTGTCTCTACTGAAAATACAAAAAAATTAGCTGGGCATGGTGGCGCACGCCTGTAATCCCAGCTACTCGGGAGGCTGAGGTAGGAGAATTGCCTGAACCCAGGAGGTAGAGGTTGCAGTGAGCCAAGATCGCGCCATTGCACTCCAGCCTGGGTAACAGCAGTGAAACTCCGTCTCAAAAAAAAAAGAGTGAAATGTTTTCCAACTAGTAAAAGTTACATTTTAGAATAATAGCTTTTTCCCTGTAATTCCTTGTAATTCATAGAAAACTATCTTAGAAGGGTTTATGTGAATAGTTATAGGCCTAAATTTATAATCAAGTCAATCTGGACACTTAAAGTGAAGATTTATCATAATTAAGACAAAATGTGTTATTTAAAAAGCATTCTGTCATTTCTACTTATTTGGCCTGTTTTTTTTTTAAAACTCTGTGTTTCTGTTTCTTTAGTACCTTTACCTTAGAACAGATGTTTTCTATAATAGAGGAAAGAATTCTAAGCAACTAACACAAGTTTTGAGATTTTCTAGCATTGTATATATTTTAACACAATTCTCTTCCCCACCTTCTTTTGACAAGTAACTGAGCTAAAACTGTCACATTCAAATGGAAGTTCATTTGCAGTAGGAAAATAAACAAATATATCTTAACCCATGATCTCAATATAATAGTAAAATTGATGAAAGGATAGGAAATGACTAAATTCCTAATACCGTCAGGATTTTAAAATTCAAGTTATTATTGAATCTCTCCATATTACTCTTAAGTTATATCCCAACTGGGACACTTCCAAGTAATTAAACATACCATAGTGTTAAGGTAAAGCAATTAAAAGACCCAATCTATCCGTCATATATTTAGGTTTAATAGTAAACTGTTGACAACTTCACAGACTCCAGCGCTGAAACCCTAGCCTCTCTCTCAGATTTGTTATATTTTATTTTTAGATGTAATCACTTCCCTCTGGTAAATGGTAAGTGACCACATGTGCAGGTCTGCACATGAGGAAACTAAAAAGGGAACCTTGCACTGTGAATCAGATACACAAGACACAAGAAGGGTCTCCTTCCAGGCCATGCCCAGCATGTCATACATATTCTTTAATAATTCCTTTGACAGTGCTGTGCTGACATTTTCAATTAATACAAACGATACTGGAAGTTAAGCAATTTCCATCACACGTTCAGTACGTGTTGCTTCACAAACACTCTACCAAATGGCGTGATAAAAATAAACTTATTTTTTTCTTTTATTAATTTCCCTTAATGCTTCATGTTAAGTGAATCTTGTTAGAGTTCAGATTAATTTTGAATTCACACTGTTGGGAAAATCTTTCATAAAGATTAATTCAGCAAAGTAAATTGGACCAGAATATATGGATTCTGGTAGCCCTATATACATCATATAATCTGATTAAAGAGTTGAGATACTAGAGCTACAAAAGCAAACATTCAGGGGAATCCCAAGATGGGGAAGTGTTAGTTATGCAAGATGATCATGTTCTAGACATCTGCTGTATAATATCGTGTTTATAATTAACAGTATTGTGTTATACACTTAAAAATTTGTTACGATGGCAGATCTCATGTTAAGTGTACTTACCATAATTAAAAAAAAAAACAGTTACTAAAGGCAAACAACAAAATAAAATAACAACAAAAAAGGAAACTTGGCATAAAATGGTGCATAAAATGGAAGGTAAACAGGTGAAAAGGAAAAAGAAAACCAAAACATCTGGTAATTATCCCAAAGGTAAGTGTTTCTCTAAGAGTTTTCCACAGATATCCTGCATTAGATTCATCTGTGGAGCTTGTTAAAGATGTAAATTACTGAATCCCACCCCAGTATGAACTGCAAAATGGGAATATGTGAGAGGAGGACTCAAATCAAATACGTCAGGATTCTTTTTCATGCTAAAATTGTAGAACTATTTATTTAAGTCCTTCAATTCCTTGCTATCATCAAGAACATTTACTACCCCACTAACATGTGCCTAAAAACTGTCCCTATTCAACTAAAGATTCATTCGTCCTTCTAACTAAAAAGATCCTATCATTTCAGATTAAATTGCAAAGCACATTACCTACATATCTCCTAACAAAAAGAGAAAAAGAAATTCAGAAGAATAACAATAGTATCAGAATAAACTCCTCTGCCCTATGCATCTCTTCTCCTTTTTTACATAGTTGTAGTTGCCATGAGTCACGGCTGATTAATTTCTCACTGAAGAAAGAAAGCGTTTCCCCCGCAAATTGTATTACAGCCACAGGATGTCTTTTGTACAATAACAGAATAGTCAAACTTTCAAGTGAATTATTTTAGGAAATGCACCTTCTGCCAAATAATAAAAAATCATAAACGCTTACATAATACCCTGAAAGACTAAGATGTGTTAGATATTTATGAGTAATTGTATTCTATGTGTGTCTCAAACTCCAAAGTCTCTGCTAGAGTGGGTTTACACTTATTTAGCAAAAATTATTAAAAAAATATTTAAAAGAATAGGCAGAATAATACAGTCTCAGAATATATAATCACATATGATTATCATCAGAATACATTATATGTGATCTTTTGCATGGGCAAAATGAAGCTTCTCTTTCCCTAGCAAATGGCTTCCCCAATGTGTCTAATCAACCTTGTAATACGAATTACATTTAGCTAAGTAACTTATACACACTCAATGTTCAAGAAAAGTCTTCCAAATTAACCACCACATAATCAATTTTAAAAAGCAGAGGTGAAGGTAAATATTTCAAACTGCCCTTAAGCCTTCTGGAAATACTTATGAAAAGACTGATAAATACAATAATTGCAAATAAATATTGTCTATTTAGTTCAAAAAGTGCTCTAAAGATCTGTCAACTTTTTGTTTGCCTCATCTGAGATACTATAAAATGGACATAAAATTAATCTATATTTCCTTTTATACTTCCTATCTTATTTTTCACTTTTTCCTAATTCAGATTAGATATGTGCGTGTTAATCCTGATTAGGAATGAGTTTCCATACTTATAACTTGAATAAGTAATTCTTGAAGAAGGGAGAGATATACAATGTCATATATACACACACAGGCACACATGCATACATGTATATTTGTAAATATCAAAGACAAAAGGAAAAGCTAGACTAATAGACTATGCATATTTAAAAAATGAGGTAATTTTAGGAACTCCTGATATGCATCATGGAAGAAAGCAATGAATTATAATTTATTCTGTTATAGTAGATTCACCTATGCCTTTTCAATCTTAACAAGATTTGTTTTAATGATTTAAAGGCTATAAATAACATTTGGTGATTAGGCAAAGGGTTGGCCTGGATACCTGTCTTGTCCCTAACGGTCACGGAAGTGGAAGCAGGAAGCAGGAACATTGACATCCAAAGCCAAAGTTTCCAAGGGCCAGTGTGTCTCATCGTGCCTTGAAACCATGAGAACAAGTGGCCACGGATCTGCAACAGAAAAAAAAAAAAATTGAATTAAGTTGTTGTATGCAGCTCCTTTCAACATCTCCAGAAAATCTTACCAAAGCAAAACAATGAATTTTACACTATATATCATCATATAACAGGATATATGATTATATATGCAATTGTGTATATCAATATATACCTTAATCTGTATGGTAAGAGCTCTGAAAATATTTTCAGATTAGTTTCTAGTAAATTATTGATATTGATACAGCTTATCAGTTAAATTTTCTCTGCCTTTACATATTTTTCAAACTACACTTACACTGACACATTTTTAATTTTTAAAAATTGTGGCCAAATACACAAAATATAAAATTTACATTCTTAGCCAATTTTAAATACACAGTTCAGTAGAATTAAATACATTCATATTGCTGTGCAACCATTCCCAGAATCTGCAAAACTTTTTCATATTGCAAAACTGAAACTCTATGCCCAATTAAAAAAAATTTCCCATTTTCCTGTCCCCCAACTCCCAGAAGCCATCATTCTACTTCCTGTCTCTATGAATTTCACTAATCTAGTGGAATCATTCAGTATTTGTATCTGTGTGACTTTATTTCACTTAACATATGTCCTAAAGGTTCATCATGTTGTGCTTTGTGACAGTTTCCTCCTCCTTTAAAGCTGAATAATATTTCATTATATTTATATATATATATATATATGTACACTTCTACTCCTTAGGTACTGAAATAGAAGATTTAGTAAATAGAAACCCTGTAATGGAAAACTTAAACATCATTTAAATTATTTCTTTTTAGAGAAGCAACTAATGTGGAAATAAATTGCAAGTGAAAATATAGTGACTCCCTCAGTGTATTTGGTAATTGCAGAATGATTAAAACAGCTATTCTAAGAGGTCTAAATATGCAAGTAAATGCTTTATCACTTATGTGCCATCATTCAAAGTTAAATCAAGAGTCAAATATGAAAGAATTCATTATACAAGTGACTAAATTCTATCGATAGACACTCTTTAGACAAAAACTAAAGCCACCATCTTCTTTGGTATTCTGTGTGTGCCATATCCTCTAAGATCAGCATTTTAAAATTAATTCAAGATTTCAGATCTTTCTGGATGAATAGCTAGAAGCAGCAATTGCAATATTAAAACTGTATGTGTAGTTCTAAACCAGCTCAAACAGCTGGTTTTAAGCCTTATTTCTTTTGAATTATTTCATCTAGATATAGTACCAATCCTCATATGACTTTGCAAAGTTATCCTAGCTATTATTTCAAGTCAGTTGGTAATTGTTAAATAAATTCATTCTATTTCAAAGGAAAAAACTCATAAATATTGATCTGACTTTTAGAGAAATCCATGGTTATATTTTTAGTGAAAAGTGATTTCTATCAGTTGATACATTAGTAGTTTGGCACAGTGCTTACAATCATGGCTTCATGTCTGGACTTTGCTACTTGTGGAGAAGCTATGTAACTTCTCTGAGCCTTAACTTATTCATCTTCAAATTGATGAATATGAAATAATACTAGCAATAAATTATTTAATGTACAGAAAGTGTATTATTATATGGGGCTTTAACCCAGTAAATATTCAAAAGGTATCTGATATTATAATGGTTTGCTGTATATATTAATAAACAATAATTAGAAAAATTAAGTTATACCTGTCTCTTCAGCTTGAGGTTGATATTGATATTTGGACAATGGAGAAGTGTCGAAGCAGCCTAGAAATTTATGTTCACTGAAGCTTTGGTCTCTGTTTCAACGACAAAGAACCAGAGGACTACAAAGCTATAAGCTTTGATCTTGACATCTCCTAATTATTTCCTTAAGCCACTTAGCTTCTATTTCATTTAACCAGAGTATTTGCAGAATAAGGTTTATGGTTAGTTGACTAAATGTTCTAGTTATTGAAGAATTGCCATTCTACTACTCTACTGAAGCGTCTCTCACCAAGTTCAGCAGGAACTTGAAAGAAGAATCCTTTTCTCTTCCCTTCTTCAATTCTTGGTGGCACTTCCAATAGCTGACTATTCTCTCCTTCCTAAAACCCTCTTTTATTGGCCTCTCTGATCTGACACTCTCTGGGATTTCCTTGTAAATCTTCTCAGATATTTCTTCTATCTGATTTCTTAATATTGGGATCTGTGAGCCCTCCTTTCCTCTTTATAATGTCTCCCTAGATGATGTCACCATTCTCTTGGCTTTAAATATTATCTGTAAGATGTTTAATCTAAAATTTACATCGCCCATCCACTCCTCTTCACTGTACTTTAGACTGTGTATCCAGCTGCCTATTCAAAGTTCTCTCTTAGATGTCACACAGATATCTGTAACTTAATACATCCAAATAAACTCCTGATTTCCAACCACAACTTGTTCCTCTCATGCTCTTCCCAGTCTCAATAGTTACTACCCATCAAAATGCTCAAACTAGAAACCCAGGGATCCCATTGATTCTTCTACCTTCCTTATCCCCATCTCCTACTTCCAGACCATCAAGAAGTCATGTCAGTGTTACTGAAAACACATCTCACATCCACTTATTTCTCTTATGCTACTATCCCAGTTCAGATCACCCTGGTCTAGACCCCTCAACAGCATCCTATTGGTTTCCCCCATCCATTACTGAATCCTGACCACAATTATTCTCTACATAGCAGTAGAAAAATTTTCTTACAATGAAAGTTGGATCATGTCACTTCCTTGCCTCAAACCTTTTAATGGTTTCTGATGGTACTTTGAATGGAGTTCAAAAGCTGTTCTATGGCCTATAAGTCCAAAATAACCAGGCCCCTATCCACTTCTCCAGCCTCATATGGTACCATTCTTCTTAGATATTTTTCTGTATACATATGTTTATTGCTCCCCATTAAATTCTAAGTTCCATGAGGGCAGGGACTATATCTATCTTGTCCATCACTGTATCCTAGGTGCCTTGCACAGTACTTGGAAAAGCAGAGACTCAATTCATATTTGTTGAATTTTTTTTTTAAAGTAAGAGACTGCCAATTAACAAATCTTGAAATATTTTGGAATCTTTAAAAATAATTCTTAAGGCATTACAAGATCCTATTTCAAGGGTCATTATGAATACTTTTTCTCTTTGCACATTTCTAAAATGTATTTACTATTTGAGGGTTCAGTTGTTCAGATCCTGATAAAATGGAAATGTAGCTCATTCAGCTAGAAATATTTGAAAAACTTTTCATCAAGGTCTCAAAATAAATCCTTGTACAGGTTTTAAAAACAATTTGTTCAGATCTTAAACCTTTCTGGAGGCATTGACAAGTTGACCTCAATGAAACTGACAAGGTCAAAGCTTCCCTTGAGTCTTTCTGAAACTTTCCTTTTCCTACAAGAAACCTCTCACCATCCCCAGACACCTGCAATTCTCAGGCTGCTTCTTGATGCTCTGAACACTCCTCTGGTACCTTCTCTGGATTTCTCAATTATTGGCTTTGTCCACAACCTCCTTCCTCATCAAAACTTCCCACATTTCCTTCCTGTCCCTGCAGGTCCTAGCTAGGTGATTATCAAGATAGTTTTACAAATGAATTCAAGTGCATGTATAACACTTTAATATGTTGCTCCTCCCAGATAAAAGTTAGGCTGTAATACAGATCTTTAATGCTTTCTCAGTGGAGCAGCTAATGAAGAACTTCAAGCAAATACATATGAATGCTGAGGTCCTCAATTTTTTTTCTCAAGTTTGTCCTAAGATGGCTCACAATATCTATTTAGAAGGCTACAGAGAATATTGGTGCTATGATTTGAATGTGTTGCCCAAATTTCATGTGTTAGAAACTTAATCCGCAATGTCACAGGATTAAGAGGTAGAGTCTTTAAGACATTAGGTTAATTATCATTTGAGGGTGGGTCTGTTATAAAAGCCAGTTTGGCTCTCAGTGTGCCCCTCCTACCTTCTGCCATGTTATGACACAGCAGGAAGGCCCCCACCAGATGCAGTTGCCTGATCTTGAACTTTTCAGCCTCCAGAACTGTGAGCCAAAATAAACCTCTTTTATTTGTAAGTTACCCAGTCTTAGATATTGTGTTATCACAACAGAAAATGAACTGAGACAGTTGGTCAGATATGGTCTCATTTTCTGAAGTAGAATTTATTTTATATATGATATCTTATTATAATAACCATAGTATCTCAAGAGGCAGGCATAGCTGCCCAAAACACTGACAGGGTACAGGGCAAGAGGTCTGCATACCATATGTTTAAATATTTGAAAGTTAAAATAAAGCTAATAACACTGATAAAAATAATGTTTTTTCATTTTACTTCAGTAAATACTTTCACAAAGTATTGAAAGTCCATGACAAGTTAGAATGTAACAGAGCAGGCACTATGGGGTGAGTCGTCCTCTGGCCTGAACCAAAGCTCATCCTTCATTTTTTCTTTATTCCTGCGTCCACTGGAAGCGTGAAAATCCTTACACACACGTATGTAATATGCCAATAAGTCAAAGCTCTGTCCACAATGCCTGCAAACAGCTAACTCTTTACCATACCTTGGGCCTAGGAGTGTTTACACCTGTGGTCTTTCCCTGGGAAGATGGACCCAAGGATGGGGTATGTCAGACTCTGCAGGAGGTTAAGGGTCTTTTTTTTTTTTTTTTTTTCAGGAAATTTCAGATCTTGGCTATCCAGAGCCTGGTCTAGAAGCTCAGGTTTTAGGTGGGCAGGTCCCCTTAGCTCTGTAAATGCCTAACCCTGAGAGCAGGTACTCATCCAGAGCAAGACTACAGTGCAGTCTTCTAAAATGTAGGGTCCAGAGCAAGCCTAATGTTGGTACTGAAGACAGGAATTCGGTCTCCATTCTGCAGATAAAAAACACTAAAGCTCAGAGAGTAATCCCAAAGCCTGGGATTCAAGTTCTAGTCTGCCTGACTAAAAAGCTTTTACTGTTATAACATGATGTTTTCTCTCAGGATGTGGGACAGACATATCACATTCCTACATGTATTTTCTTAAATTTTCAGCTATTTCTATCAAAATTCTATTAGACCCCAGAGAGTTCCCTAGTGCTATAAAGTACTAAAGTCACAAGGCTGAGTGTGCCCAGCACTGGCAGTCTTGAGTAGGCAACATTGATGGAGCCCATAAAGGCTTAAAATCATTCAGACAGCCCTCCTTGTAATGTATTTCTCATAGCAGCAAACAGATAATAAATGGCTGAAGGCCTAGCCCTAACCTCTACCCCTAACCCATTATCCTCACCATCATTTGCCATATGAAATAATTTTGGGTACCAGTTGGGTAAGTGAATTTTAAAACGTCATTGTCCCTTCAATTTGCTTAATCTAGCTCTTGAAATCATTAAGGCACCTATCCAAACCAAGAATATTTGAATAAGAAATAGATTTTTTTTAAAGTTCTTATTAAACTTTATTTGTTTATATAGTGTTTATATAGTAAACACAAAATGAATAGAGAGGAACATTAGGAAACCTTAATCATTACTCATTACCTTAATCATAGGCATTAGGAAACCTCATCTTATCAATATTGATACCTATTGATATCCTATTAATACCTGGCATCTAGATATCCTGTTGTTATCTATTGATAGGATGAGGTTTCCACTATGTCACAATCACTGGAGATACAGCAGTGAGCCAAATAGGGAAAGTCCATGGTGCCACTCTGGTCACAGAGCTCAAAAATAAACAAACACCATGTTTTATTTGAGAGATAGAAATTAAGAAGTTAAAAAAAAAAAACTAAGAATAATATGTACATAAAATGATAGGATAGTGGGCTTGCTAAATAAGATAGGAGCCCCTCAGCACCAGTTTTTGAGTGAGTCAAATCAAATCTGCCTATGAAACATGAATATTTTTACTATTATGCCATCTAACAATTTAAAGCGTTCTTTGTACATCTTTGAAACTTGGTGTTAGGTAAAAGGTCAGAATGTTAGAGCCAATACCAAAATAGAAAATAATATGGAAAGGACACATGAAAAAAGAGATAAAGAGGAGAAAATAGAAAGAGAATACTTATTTGCTTTACATAAGTTGTTACATTTAATGTACATAGCATCTCAACTCTCAAAAAAGTAGACTTAATTTGTTAAATGACTGAAAGAACTCATGTTTTCAGAGGGTTTATTATAAAGGGAAATGATGTGTGACTATGTAGGAGGCTGATTTTTAAATCAAAACTTCTTGACCACCATCCGGTATGCCTATACATACATAACTCCACCAGGAAAATCTGGTCATACTGTTTTTATGAAGTGACGCACTGTGTAAATAAGCAAAAACAACAGGTGTTACACATCTGTTCTTTCACCAATCTTTAGAATCTATCTTTAGTGAAGCTGTAGTAGAGTTTGTAAACTATTAGAGAAAACCAGCTAAAGAGCCAAGCCTGTAGAGTAAAAAATTCAGGCCAATATCCCTAAGAGTTTAGGACTAGGTCTAGCATTATTTCACAGTTTTATCAGTAGCTGGAGTAATGACACTGAAGTAAGTTTGCAGACGTCTTTTGCAATTTAGGCAAAGTTTCTGCCCTCATTATATTCTACAGAAACCTCATGACTTTCACATTTTAATTACAGGTATCATCATTAATTTAGGAATTCAAGTTAAAAATTTCAGAATCATTTTCAATTTATTCACCCCCTCCCCATATCAAATCTCTGTCAATGTCTATCAAATCTACTTGTAAATGTCTTTTGAATCCATACCAACTGTCTTATCCTCACTGAAACTGCCTTAGTTCACGTTTTTACCATTCCTAATCTGGAAAATTGAATAGACTCCTAACTAGATTCCTTTCCTCCATCTTGTTCCCTTTATTTCCACCTCCCAACTGCTCAAGAACTATATTTCTTTTTTTTTTGAGACGGAGTTTCGCTCTTGTTACCCAGGCTGGAGTGCAATGGTACAATCTCGGTTAACCGCAACCTCCGCCCCCTGGGTTCAGGCAATTCTCCTGCCTCAGCCTCCTGAGTAGCTGGGATTACAGGCACACGCCACCGTGCCCAGCTAATTTTTTTGTAATTTTTAGTAGAGACGGGGTTTCACCATGTTGACCAGGATGGTGTCAATCTGCCGACCTTGTGATCCACCCACCTCGGCCTCCCAAAGTGCTGGGATTACAGGCTTGAGCCACCACGCCCGGCCAAGAATTATATTTCTAAAACAAAGACCTAGCCACTTAAATGCCCTGCTCAAAGTTTTCTGGTGGCTCTTCATTGCCCACTCCAAAGTGAGACACTCAGGCTCTTTTACCTTGGAGCCTCAACTCATCTATCCAGTCTCCTGTCCTGCTACCTCCTTCCAAACGCTCTCTGCCACCAAATCATTCACAATTCACAGGTTCCTGCACATGCTTTTTTAGCTGCTGGAAAGTCCTTTCAATCCTCTCCAATCTGGAAAACACTTAACTTTGCCTTCAACGTGAAACTTATATGCCATGTCCTACATAAAGTCTGTGCGAATCATCCCAGGCAGAGTTCACTACTCACTGTCCTCTGATCCAACAGAGCTCAATACCCACTTAGGCTTCTGCACACAGTTCTGCTATAACTGCCTTGCATTCTGTCTCTTCCCTAGCTTGAACATCTTAGAGAAAACAGATTACATTTTATTCATCTGTGTCATCTTTAAACTTGACATTTAGTACAAAATTCATGTGGTCAATCTGTAGAATGATACAGTCTAAGGCAAAACATTTGGACTAAAAATAAACAAATGAAAGGGTGGGAACCATTAAGTAATGTAGACAGGTATGGACTTAACATCAGTAGAATGACATGCATGAAGAAAAGAATGATAGAGAAGTAAAAATTACTAAAAGCTCAGTGAACATAATTTTAGTTACTAAGTGGGACAAAAAATAGTACTACTGAAATTGTTCTCTG